TTTTTTTTTTTTTTTTTTTGAGTGGAGTATTAATTTATTCCAGTCACTGCCTTATTTTCATGTTGCTGATTCCCTGTCTTTCTCTTCTACTTAACTGCTCACCCTCCCTGGTCTAATAGAAACCAGCAGAGGTCGGATAGAAAGACTTTTAGTCATTGTTAGCTTCACTGACTCTTTCTAGGATATCTTTGAGAATATTTTGCTGTGCTGGTTTGGTCAGGAATTTTTTAAGATGCTCTTTATCATGAAAATATCTTATTTCTCTGTCTATTGTATTTTATTATTATAATAGTATTTAACAATAACATTTATAAACATAAATTTATCCAAAGATATAGAAGCTCCTGTTTGTTGGGCAGGCTAATGAAGGATGATAAATGTGCCTGTCTTAGAAAAAGTAGCCAGATACATCAGTTTCATTGAGAAGAAAGGTCTCTGATACAAGCGGTAGGCAGTTTGCTTCTTCTGTACCAAATGTTCAAGTCACTTAGGTTTTCAAATCAAATCAATGGCAGCTTCAGGTCCTTAGTCTCCACCTGGGCTGTACTGCTGCCAACTCTAAAACTGCACTGCTCCCCAACCCCGATCCAAGGCCAATACTCCAGCAGGCTTTGAGGAGAAGTTGGCAAGTGGAGCCTCTGTACAGTGACTCAAGAGGCCTGCAACACTGAGCTGCTGGTATCCTCTGCCAGTTTGCAACCTGACTTTGTGATGGGATGCTCAACCTGACTTTGTAGTGGGATTGCTGCTCAGATCTCCAATATTCTGCAATGAATGCACCATCTGAAACAGATTAGGAACAAGAACTTGGAGTACAGTCTGGTAGCAACGTTTAACTAATCTATAAATATTTTAGTGACTGTTCTCTGTCCATTTTAAAAGATAGTTTGGAAAGATATATCAACCTGGGTTGGAAATTTTTTTCCTTACTCTCTTGGCCTTTAAAATTTTTGTTGAGAAGTCTGCTGTAATTCTAAATGGGTACCTTTATAAGTGATTCATTGATTTCCTCTAACAGCTTTTAGATTCTGTTCTTGTGTTAGACTTTTGGGAGTCTGATTATGATATGTCATGGAGAGATTCTTTTCTGATCATGGGTATTTGGGGCTCTCTATGCATCACTTGTCTGTATGTTAAAGTCTTTCTCCCTTATTTCATAAGTTTCCTGCTATTATTTCTGTAGCAGATTTTTAATGTCACTTGTGTTTTTTTCTCTAGTTCCAGTTAATCTTAGATTATTCTTATTTGCATCATATAGCAGTTGTTGGATCCATTTTTGATGTCCTCTTGTTTTTAAGGTGTGTCTCATTAAATGGTCCCTAATAACTGCCTTCCTTGCCTTCTCATTTTGCATTCTGTCCTCAGGGTGGCCACTTCTGCTGCCCATACAGTTGATAGAAGTTTTAACCTCCTGAATTTGTATTTGGGGCCTTTTTGTGGACTCTAATTCTTTTCTGTGCTGGTTGTTCACATTTTGTATCATTTTGTTTAGCTCTGCTAGCTTTTTATTTGTGTCTTCCATAGACTTTCTGATTATTTTGTTTATTTAGCTCATTATCTGTTTACTTATATGTTGTATGACCTTGACAAATGCCTTATTGATCTATTTTATTATCACAACTGTATTGTTTTGAATAATTTGACTTTGTGGCTTGGTGGCTTTGGTCCCCCCTTCCGTGCACCATGGATCAGTTTTGGGGGTATTTGGAATTTTTGGAGGCGTTTTGTTGTCTTGTCTTCTCATGTTTCTGGTTTTTTATTTGTTCTTTTGTTGATGCTTGTGAGTTGGTTATAGAGGAAGGCTTTATTTCTAGTTTGGAGAGTCCTTTAGTTAATGTCTATGTGTCCTCTAGACATGGCTAACTATTGGCTTTTGCCTCTGTCCCAGGATCTGACCACCTCTCTTTACCCAAGATGGAAGGTGGCAGCATATTTATCCCAGTACTCTGTTCTCCAGAAACGGGCCACAGTACTGTAAATGACTCCAAGGTATTTCAGGTATTTGCATCCCAAGGAAGCTAATTAATAGCAACCACTATATTACCTTGGCTATAGTAATAAAATGAACATCAATTGTAGTGTCAAAGTCAAATGACATATTGATAAGCCCTAAGGACTGATAATGTACCTACCATCCTTAACCGTAGAAAAGAGATCTATAATTGTAGTATGAACAGTAAGACAAACCAACTATTGACCTATAGTAAATATCTACTATATGAAGCAACTTACCTCTATTAACATTAGAATAGTATTTAACAGTAATAGTATAAATTTAACTAACTATTTAAAGATTCATAAGGCCTTGTAGTTATACTAGTAAGATGGAGGAAATGGTGAATTGGAGAATGACAAGAGCAAAACTTAATCAATGAGATATAAGAAAGAAGAGGAAAAAATAAGATAGGATTTCCAGTTGAGGAGTAAATAGAAATTAGTGCTAGAAAAATCTCAAAAAAAGAACAAACAAGAAAAAGAAAAACAGAGAATAAAGAAGAAAGTAAAAAAAGTGAAGAAAGAAGAGAGAAAAGGTTGAAAGGGGAAAAGGGAAAAGGAGAGAAAAAAACTAAAAGAGAAGAAAAAGGTAAAAAAGGGAGAAAAACCCCAACTCCCCAAAAATTTAATGAAAGAAAGAGAAAAAAATAATAATAAAGAAGATTGAGTCAACTTCTTTTGTGTTTTTGAATGATTTGTTTCTTTCCAGCATGTTCAGTCTTGGGATCCAGTCAGTCATTAAGGAAAGAGCAGGATTAAACTTGAGATATTTCTTTTTTTTAAAGTTGAACTCTGAGTAATATTTAGCTATTGTTGGTTATTAGACATTTCCTTCAGGCAACAACAGTCTCCTGCTTAGTCTGTGGCCTCTTTCTTACTGCTTTTATGGAAAGCCTCCAAGAAGTCACATTGAGCCAGGTTCTGCAGTGGTTATCCAGGTAGACAAGAGCTCAGAAATCCAGTGGAGCTGTTCAGACAAAGGAGCAAGATGCACTGAGACTGGAAAGATGTAGCTGGATCCTAGATTCAAGTGCTGAGGAAAACAGGAAATGAGCATACCAATGTTGTTAGACTATGAAGGCTTTAGTTTTTACAATTTTTTGGTGTATGTTAGTAGGATCTGAACACAGGTCCTTGTGCTCAGTAGGCAAACACTGTAACACAGAGCTACACTTCCAATCAGTATGAAGCCTTTTAACAAACCAACACACTCATCTGGTTCCAGGACTTAGAAACTGCACAAGAACACCTGGTGATAAGTGGCTACCTCCCACATGCTGGGCTGTGGATCCTGGCTCCAGGTGATTTAAACCTGGGGAAGTATAGCTTTTTTTTTCTGATATTTCTGGAGTAGGTGCCTTTTTAAAAAATTCATTTGTTAAGAAAAGTTGAGTTTTTCCAATGCATTCTCCAGGAGAGGACATTTTTCCCCCCTCTATGGAATTTGTTTTTACAGAGGCTTGCCTTGGCAGACTACTCTCCTGCTTGGTAGTGTTTAGAAATTTCTGTTCTCATAGGTGTCTTGGACATCCTTCCATAGGTGTCAATGACATACTTCACTGTCACTGCTGAGACAAAATATCTGACACCCAGAATTAATGAAGGAAAGGTTTACTTAGCTCACAGTTTGTTGAGGTTTCAGTCCATACTCAGCTGGCTCCAAGGCAGAGTGGCACATGGCAGAGGGTAACAGTTCCTAACAGAGGAAGACAGCAAAAGCAGCAAGAGCAAAAGGGAGTAGGGGTGGCAAGCAGTCTGTTTCCCTCCCTTACACTGTATGCAAACTATGCGTGCCCCAGGGTGGGTGTAGCACTCACACCCATAATTCCAACATTGGACCATGAATCAATCAAAAATCTAGAAGCCCGCCCTATGACTGCATCAGGATTTGGGGGGACATGCAGACACAAACCATAACAATAGGGAAAAAAAGACTTTCCTACAAATCTCAGCAAAAGCATGGATAGCACCCAAGTAATAACTTATACAGTGAACACATTTTTTTTATCCCAGAAAAGAAATACTGTATCTGTTACTTTACACACCTGACTATTCCTTTTCTTTTTTCTCTTCCTCTTCAAACTATTTGTTATAAGAATTTTTTAAAAAGCAAACATGAGCTGGTCATTATTTTGTTTCCTCATCTTTCTTCCCTGCCCTGCCCCTCCTTCTATACAACCAAATGTCTATTTGACTTAATTTACTCTTTCTCTCTTATTTGCGGTTTATGTCCTGCCCAAATCACCATGAAATAAATTAGATAGTCCTCATCACATGTTAAATATCTTTTAAAGTATGAGAATTAATAGAATTCTCTTTTCTGGTGGGAGTTTAATGCTATCACCACACCTCACTGACTATTCTACCCACTTAAGTGATTTTTATCAACATTATCAAGGGTTGGTCTTTATCTTTAACCTCTGTTTTGACAATGAAGTATGTAAAATCTCCAGGCAAATGAAATTGGCTTTAAGTCTTCAATTTACATGAGTCAAGAGGGTCTAATAGTAAAAAAATTTTTAAGACTTTAAGTGAATATACCAGACTATGAATTCATTTAAAGTAAATGTCTGATTTCTGTTTTAGCTTATTATACTGCTTTTCTTTATTAAAACGCATCTACAAATACCCCAGTTCTCAGGTTCTTGCTAATAGAAGGGAGCTAAAAAATGGATTACTTGAAGTAGCATATATTTCGAAAACTGTTTGTGGGGTGCCCAGAATATATTATATAATTGCTTTTTTTTAGTAGTGGATTTTTTTGTTTGTGCTTTCCAAAAAAAAGCAGTACTATAAAAATTACTTTGTATTTCTTGAGAAGACAAGCTGTAGCGTGTGTGTGGGGGTGATTACAAACTCACCAGTGTAAATCCCCAAACCCAGCTCTGCTCTGAAAATTGAATGCAAGTATCATTATGTAACCAATAAGAACAAGTAGAATAAAAATCAACATCTATCAAATTTCCATTTTCTACAGAGGATTTTGAGGTTTGCTTTAGTGCAAGTGGTCTTCTGGGGAGGTGGAAGATTATGAAATAAATCTTGTGTTACTTACTTATTCCATCCCTTTTACAAATTTTATCCTACTACTATTTTGAAGAAGAAATGTGATTTACTTTCTTTGATTAATCTTCCTCCTGGAAGGCTATTCAACATCTTACTAGCACTTGGAAGAAATAGCATATTTGATTCTTTGTATAATAAATTCTGTCCATGATTACTCAGGTATATCATCAAGCAGGTTGTTATGTGCTCTTAATTTTGTCTAGGGAAGAAAAATGAATTATTTCCTCTTGATACTTTTGTAAACAAATACTAAATTTACATATTCTAGTTGAGAAATGTATATTTTTCTTCATTTTTTTCTAAAGAAACTTGCTTTCATACAAATCCTACATTTCATACTAGAATAAGGGAAAACGGCAGATGATGTACCTGGAAAGAGTTTGATTTTGCAAAATTTCTAATAATTATGTCTAATACCAGTTTTAGGAGTCTGGTCATCCCACCTGAAGCAATATTAGGTATACATTTATTGCTTTTAAGTAATATTTGATAGCTCTTGAAATTAATTAGAAAATAGCTAGTGGCGCTGACTATTAGGGTGTGGAAGCAACCAAGTGTCACTTACCAGAAGAATAGATATCATTATGTCATTTCATTTTGATTACTTTCCCATACTTTCTATTATATATTTTAGGGTCCTTATTTACACTTCCACTTTCTCACACCAGAGCAGTCATGCAATATTTGAACATGTATGTCCAATTTATTTCACATAAGACTATGGTCTCAAGTTCCATCCATTTACCCAGAAATGTCTTAAGTTTATCCTTCTTTATGGCTGAGTAGTACTCCATTGCATAAAAAACTCACTTCTTTATCCATTCATGGGTTGATGGGGTTTGGTTTGTTTCCAAGATTTAGCTATGACAAACGGTGCTGTTATAAACATAGGTGTGCATATATTGCTGTGGTATGATATTTTTAATTCTTCTGGGCAGATACCAAGCATGAGAATAGCTGGGTCAAATGGGACCTCTAATCCTAGTTTTTTGAGGAATCACCAAACTGATTTCCACAGTGATTTCACCAGTATACGCTCCCACCAGCAGTGGAGAAGGGTTCCTTTTTCCCATAGCCCTTCCAGCATTTGTTATCAGTTGATTTTTTGATAACAGCATTCTTTCTGGGGTGAGATGGAATCTCAGTGTTGTTTCAATTTACATCTCTTGAATGACCAGTGATGTTGAACTTTTTAAAATATATTTATTCCACCCCATTTTAAAATCAAATAGCCACAGAAAAATAGACAAGAAATATAGATAATTATCATCCACTACCTTTAGTATTTAGTAGCTTATGGCCTAGGTAGATTAATTGATCAGACAAAAATTACTATGTCCTGGAAGTTTCATGGGATAGTGGTAAAGAAACAGGGGTACACTAATGCAGTCCAAGTTCAAAACTTCATTCTGACATGTTCCAGCCATTTAGATCTGGACAACTGATTAATCTTCATAGGCATCAATTTTTTCACCTGTTAAGTAGGGATAATGGCATGTATGGTAACAGTTTTTGTGAGGAATAAATGAGCTAAAACTCATGCAAAGTGTTTAGGGCATCATGGTAAGTGTTCAATGAATGTTACCTGCTTGGGCTAGATTTATGCTCATGGATGGTAAAGGGGTTGAACTGATATAAAGATAAAGGGGTTGAACTGATATAAAGGGGCTGAGAGCAGAGGTACCAGTGAGGTGACATCCATCAGGGAAAACATCCTGTAGGAGATGCCATTTAACTCTGTTTAACAGTACCAGTGAATATTCATGGCTGAAGAAAAGAGAAAACATTTCAAGCAGTGGAACTGACATGCAAGTAAACACAAACATGGTTTTGAGACTAAATAAATCATGTTGATTTGCCTTTGGAAACAGATTTGTTTGGTCAGAGGTAGATTTGTAAAGGGGAGGGGGAGTAAAAATGATGAGGTTGATTAGATAAAAGACCAGATGCATATTAGCTTACATTTAAAAATGTTTTCTGAGTTTGTGTCCTTAAAACAGAAAAAGATGCTAAACAAATACTTGTGAATGTCAGGCGAGGCAGAGGGTCTGGGTAGGATGGGAAGTCAGTGGCGTCTGAGCAGGTATTGATGATCCAGATGCTCTGACATGGTTGTGGTCAGTGTTCATGTGCCCGGGAAGCAAGATTGCAATTCCAAAAGGCAATTTGGATGGAAGGATGGTGTGGCTAGGTTATAGACTCTGGGTGGAGCTGAATCAGAGTAATTGATAGCACCTACAATTATTGTCGTATATGCCTACCTATTGCAGAAGTAATGTGTCCAATCTACCCTTGGAAGTTATGTTGCAAGTGGAGGAGATAATCTTTATCATCAACTTCTTTGGGCTCCTACAGTGAAATGATCAGGGTTTCAGACTTTGGTTACTCTAAAGGCTGCTTGTATTGAGAGACAGAAGGGAGATGCATTATTGTACACAAAAGTTATATAGGTACATACTATATTACACACACACACACACACACACACACACACACACACACACACACGCACACATACCACTCCAGGTGGGGTTGGTATACAAGAAGATAAGAGCAGGGCAGAGGAGACACGGAGGATAGCCAAGAACTTTTATGACTGGAGGTGCTTAATACTATATGTGAGTTTTGTGTAATGTTGCAACTCATCTTTTTCAGTTTTTGCAGACACTCAGACACAGATGCCATGGTTCCACAAGTATTTTATTTTGTGTGTATGTGAATTATAAAGGCTGATGATATGGAAAAAGAGGTTGGTGTCGTATGGAGAATAACTTAGGACTAGGAAGGCGAGATGATCTTTCAGCTGAAGTATCTCATGCGGAAGTAGTAGTGGGAGCTGAACGCCAGAGGTGCTCATAAAAATCAAGTTCTAGGAATCTGCAGGACCCCAAGAAGAGATGACTTGCCTATAAGTCACTAGGTTTGGACTTGTGCTTTTCTAATTGTTATCTTAAGTAACAGGGTGACAGACTGGGTTTTTATACAGATAAAGTTGACTTTGTAGACTTACCAATGTCTCTCCTTCTTTTAGTGTGGCCTCTTGTGTTCCAGGCTTAAGCTTCTTTTCCTGATGCTAAGCCGCTGCTGCCCAGGTAGGAACTGGCATGTCCTCTCAGAGCCTCAGCATCTGTGGAGATGTTACTGTGAGAGATATTACTGTGGAGATATTATTGTGGGTACCTGTATCTTTCTGACTTACTTCCTGAGCTGAAAGCCCTCACTTCCCACTCATCTTGTCAAAGAAATGATAGCTAGACACAATAAAGTATCATAGGAAGTAGAGAGATAGATCTTTTTCAAACGGGAATGGGAGGGAGGGGAAAGGAAGGGGATAAAAAAGAATAAGGGTGTGTTATGTACATGTACCAACTCCCCATGAGGAATGTGATCATGAAGCACCACAAACATGTACTAATAAAAGAATAAAAATTAAAAGAAGATGACAGCTAGAGCCGGTCTTTCTATCGTAGTGTAACATTTAACTATTTTAATGTTTTACTTAATGTCTGTACCTAGAAATGGTTGGAAGAAAGTCTGAGGCATGAGATTATTTTAGATGAATGCTTTGAACAATCTGCTTAGCATCTTCTCTTGGTCTTTGTCTCATGTCTAATTTTATGGTTATAACACTATTTTTAAATTAAATGCCACAAAGCACAAACCAAATAAATATGTCATTGGACTATTTTGCTTTTATTATTTTTAGTGTTATGTTGAAATATTTTTCATGCTTTTTAGCAAACTGCTTTACTACTGAAAGAAATGAGGGATGTGGGTCAGGAATTAGTTTTCAAGAAAAAGAAGATTGTGTAGGTGTTGCTGGTGACAAGGTTAAGAAGAGATTACTTGTGCTGGACTCTTTGCTCCTCCATTTTCTACATGGCAGTCATAAGGCAGTTATTTAAACTGTCCAGTTCTCAGACTCACAAATGGAGTTAATAATAGTAGCAACCTCATAGAACTAAGGTAATTCACTTAAAGCTTATAGAATATTACTGGGCTCTCAGAAAATGCTGAATTCACTATTTATTATAATTACAAACTTACTATTTATAAGAAAAAAATCAGTATACTAGAAATATTGATCTCATTTTTTTCTTAGTTTTTTACTTTTTTTGACTCAAAGTGGTATTTCATTTGATTATGGTAGTCAATAAATTTGCTTTCATATAAGATTTGGCATTTTTAAATGCAACTTCATATTTAAATGCAAACAAATTGTTCAAATTATAAATATTTTAAGAATGTTTCACTGAGTTTGCCAACAGCACCAAAAAAGCCACCCTGCTAACATTTTCAGCATGATCAGAAAATAGATAGTCTCCCTCAGTGATTACTTTGAAGGGGACAGCATTCATTTTAAAAGTGCAATTTCTATCTTTTAATAATACACCCACACTCATTCATAATATCATGATAGAGAGACTAATTGCCTCCCCCCAAGGATGTCTGTATCTTAACCCCAGAACCTGAAATAGAATATGTTACATGTCAAGAAAAATCAGTTTGCTAATCAGGTGACTTTGAGAGGGAAATTACCCTGTATTGTGCAAGTGGGCACAATGTAATCCCAGGCTCCTCAGAGTGAAAGATGAAAGCCCAGAATCAGTGTCAGAGTTGTAAGAAACTGTGTAAGAAACTCATGGGTTCATTGTTGGCCTTGGATCTGGAAGGGAGCCAGGAGCCAAACCCTGGGCATCCTCTGGAAGCTGGAAAAGGTACGGAAATGGGCTCCCCTCTATTATCTTGTTTTAACTTAGTGAGACTCACTTTAGACCTCTAACCTTTGGTACTATAAGATAAATGTGGTGGTTTTAAGTTACCAATGTTTCAGCAATTTGTTATAGCAACAATGAGAAACCAGGGGCTGGGGATTTAGCTCAGCGGCAAAGCGCCTGCCTGGCAAGTGCAAGGTCGTGAGTTTGGTTCCCGGTACCAGAGAAAAACCAAAACAAACAAACAAACAAACAAAAGAAAAACAATGAGAAACCAGTATAAAACTAGTTTGTCATATCTCATGCCATAATATGAAAATTATAGTCTTTGTGTTTTGTGTCTCTATTATTTTAACACACTTAGAAGCAAGATAAAAACACTTTCAGAAAGGAATACAGTGAAAATTACCCCTGAGGTGTGGTTGTTTGTAAAGAAAGGTCCTCCACTATTCAGGTGGAAAGGTTATTTTTCTTTCCTTTTGCAAGTTAGAGATTACATTTTGAAGCACACATTCGAGCTTGGAATAAGAGTGGAGGATAAATAAGAGTCTTGTGCCACGGATGGAGCAAATCACAGGGGAGAATCTTACCTTGGGCAGAATGGCTGTGTTTGTGGAAATTTTGAAAAGATTAAACTGATGAAACTTCTATTTATAGAACTACTTTGATTGTTTCTGTTTTCTCTAGGCTATTGGAGGTAAATACATATGCTACTCATTGACGAGTCTGTTTTATTTTTCTGTTCGAATATATGTGATAGGGTATCTGCAGCTTTTTGGTACATTAAAATTACAAAGAGAAAAAGGAACAACTTTAACAATGACAGTTGGCATGACGTGAGGAAGTTTATGGACTAGAATGATTACTCTGCAGTATAATTTTGTGGAAAAGGACACAGCCTACAGAGAAGGTGAAAAGAATGTTGAGTGCAAATGGATCCCAGGGAAGGATTCAAGCAATAGACCCTCCATAGAACTATGATAGCCAGAAGAGGCAAAGAAAATGAAAAGCCCAAGCAAGCTAACGCCAACTTAAGGAATTAAAAAGAATACACAAGCTCATTTACAACTTTATCATGGAAAAAGAAGTACAAGGGGCAGAATGGCCCATCAATAAGTGAGGCGGGAGGAGAAATCAATGGTAGTTGTAAAATGTCTGAGCTATTGAACTGCTGTTTTGAAGTCAGTCTTTATAAAGAAATAGGGTTCTGGGTAATTAAGAAGTAATTAAGGTCCCACCGACTTTGAAGCACTATTGATAAGTAAGTAAATAATTACCACCTGCATTAACAAAATGTGTGAGTGTGTAGGAGAAATGCATTCTATAATAAATTTCTCTGCTCCAGTGGTAATTAGTATACCATTTGCTATATACTAGCAGTAGGTAGGGGGAAATCCTATCTCCAAACGTGCACAATTAAATAGATGCAATGATTTCACCAATGACAAAAGATAATTTCACCAATGACACCAGTGAAATGACGGAAAAGACAAAATAATGAACTCTTCAGGCTGAAATCAAGAGCATCTGAGATCAGTTTATTTAAGCTCAGAAAATAACACAGAGATACGTACAAACACACATTGTGGTAAAACAACAAATTCTGGAATGCTAGGTAAAGGATCAGGAGCTATGTAATGCCAAGGACAGTTTCTCATTGCCTAGTGACCAGGAGACTGATTATATATTTTTTATGAGTGCTGGATAACTGGGAGCTTCACATATTAAGAAATATAGTTTTGTGGAAAACTGCAAACTCTCTTTTTTGGGCTAAGTAATGCAGACCCAGATATGAGTTGACTAAACAGTGAGAACTGGATGAAGACATCTCATACACTTTCTATTAATGAGTAAATTATGTAGGAATGAGCTGGTTTGGTAATTTGCAGAGTAGCGAACAATAAAAGATTTGAAGTCAGACAGACTTACTAAAGAATCTTGTCTCAACCCCATGCCATGAACATTTGGGCAAATGCCTTAACCTTTCTGGGGGATGATAATCATATTTGCTACATATGGTTTTAGAAAGATAAAGTGAAGTAGCTGTCACACAGTTCTTGACAGAAGGTACACACTGAAAAATAAAACATTATAATAATATGGTAGATTTAACTAAAAATACGATATGATTGCTTGCTCAAAGGGTAGAGAATTCGGAATCTATTTTTGTTCTAATTTTAAACAGAATAGGACTTGGCATGTTGGTACTTGATAAATGGTAGCTATTGATGTGTATTTATTATTTAGCCCTGTTACCTTGGAAAAATTATAGCCTCACTTCACCTCAGTTTCCACATAAATTAGGATTAACCTTGGTTTTTGAGCATTTTTGTGTTCTAAGCACATGGTTTCTGAAGAAACTTGAGTTTAATTGGAGAAGGAAAACGGGAAACAGCTGGAGGTAAGAGCGGGCCTACATTCTCATAAGTGTTAGAAATTTAGAGAAGAGAGAGGCAGGCCGTTGTAGCAACAGAAGGCACGGCAAGGAAAAGTGGTACTTGCTCTGGGCTTTACAGTTCTTAATGTTTGGATGAATGAGGAGATGATGATGTAGGGGATGGGATGCTCTTGAGTAGGAGAACAAGCTGAATCAGGGAGTGAAGGTAGAAAGGACTGCATCTAGTGATTTCATTTCTGAAATATGAGGCTTGGGATCTGTGGTAAAGATTGTCCCAGAATGTTTGAAATTGGAGCCAGGGGTCTACACAGGAAGAGAGTGAATGGATATTGACTAGAAAGGAGTGTTCAGGTTCAATAAATAATTGGAGGACAAAGCAGAAGGATGCTGTCACTTGTAATAATTGTCTTACTAAGGGTATTATGACTTTAGGTAAAATGAAATACTTGAGTATCTAAAGCAGTTACATTTTTGTGGAAACTCTACAACCTTCCCTAGAAATTTTACTTTTTTGTTTGTTTCCTTCACTGAGGTAGAAACCAGGTTTTTTTCATTCCCATACATAAGCACTTAATATAGTGCCTGACACATAGTAACAAATGAAAAATACTTGTGGGATGAACGAGAGCTACTGTCAAGGTACAAACATGAAATAACATTTACTATTTGCATTCTGATTAATTTATTTTAATTAAGCATTTTGCCTACTTCTACAGAGTCTTACATGCGTTGAAATAGAATACCTGCTAAGAAACAGAAGTCGTATTTCAGAGGGAGAAATTTCTCTTTCTTTTAGGCACTAAGGCCAAGCAGATTATGATACTCAGGCAAGACATTTGGATTTAGTTTCTGGCAGTTGTAACATACAGAAAATCATAGCATGCTTTTGTTTTCTGATAAGCAAACTACAACATTCAAGAGCAGAGAAGGTTTTCTTTGGAAACAAACTTGAAGAGGAAATGATCACATGGGACCTTGTAATATTTCAATCAAATGTTCCCATGTAGGGATGGA